TTTTTGATAAATGAAAGTGTCAGGAAGGGAAAAGGCAGGGTAGGATGACGGATATGATTATATTTGATGCCAAGAGCAGATCAGCTCTCCATATGTGATAATTACCTCCTTTCATAGAGGGCATTCTCTTATTAAATTCTTCGAAGGCACAAAAGCCTTCCGCAGAAATCTCAGAGAAGCAAAAAGAGCGAAAGATCGAGAAGAATATTTGCTGGTATCCTTCAGAAATGACTTCTGTTAGTCGAAAAAATTTTGTAAGGTTTGTTGGTGTGTAGAAGCAGGTACGCAAGGATTACTCAGTTCAAATCTTCGAATTGAAGCTAGCGCACTTCATTAAAAAACCCGCTTTTTTCAACCAGCTAAAGGAAGCGAGCACCACCTACGGATTTCCGGAGGCAGGAAAGCAGAAGAAGGCAGTCAGATGGAGAAGTGCACTTGAACGGGCAAAATGAGGCAAAAAAAATTGACAAAATGATTATTAAATGAGGTCAGTGTTTTTGATTAATTACGTCACTGCTGTCACCACTGTCACCACTCATCGCTATCATCACTATTATCATCATCATCATTATCACCATCATCACCATCATCATCATCGTCATCACTACTGTCGTCGTATTTACCAATAGCAACATTCAAGTACAAATCATGGATAGCAGAAGGGACAATGTAGTTTGCATAAAAGAAGTTAAAAATGAAAGAGCGGCTGAATGAATGAAAACGAATTCAAAATGCAGCATCTTTGCTTTTTTCGCGTTTTCTTTTCATTCGACTTGCTTATTAGTTTCGGCACGCGTGCCTTACTTCATTCAGAAGAGACAGACTTGGCCAAGATAAAGCAAGCTGTAATGTGTACATATGTATGTATGTGTGTGTGTGTGTGTGTGTCGTGAGTAACAGACAACGCACTACTTTTAATCAGCCATCTCCCAAGCATTTGACACCCCCGCTGACTGCTGTTACTCACAAACTCCCTCAATCACACTTCAAATTGAATGAATTCATTTTAGAGATGTTTTCTAGACCTCCTCTGTTGCTCGCCTTCGAGAACGTAAATTTCAGTATTTTAATGCACACACATACACACACACACACACACACACACTGATTCGCACATCCGCTTACGCATGAAGAAGATTTCTGACCGGAAAGAAATAAAAGTCAAACACGAAGTGCAAGAACTATTCACCAGAATTTAACGCATTTTAGCCTAATTTACACCCATCGTTTTATCTGACTCAATTTAACATCACACTGCTGCGCTAAATTTTAATCCCTTGAATTTTGTTTTCTGCACGGAATTGCACCTTCGAAGTGTATTTCAACCTTCTTTCTAATCGCAGCAAAGAGCACCAAAACTGCTTGCCTG